AGTGTTCTTTATTAAGCTACAACATGGTTGCATGAATAAAGATGATCCCAGGTAGACCATTCGGAGGTTCAGTTCTTCAAAATCTCAGCTTTGAATTTGCATTCTCTGTGTCGGTGACAATTGAAAATATTTCTTTGAGATTCATGGCAGTTTCAACCATACTGTTGGGGTTACGAAGCTGTTTTTCACATCAGTTTTTCTACTTGATGACATTGGAAATGGAGACTCGACTTACTTACATTACTGTTATTCCCGTTGTTACTGGGGTTATCATTGCCAGCCAGGATGAACTGAGTTTTCATCTATTTTGGTTTTATCATGTACGTTTCATCCCCAGCAGCAAGAATTCTACGGATATCTTTCTGTATATGGATCCTATACCTGAAGTGTTTCTACTTTCTACAATGCTCATTACAGAAGAAAACATGATCAGTATTATACTTGCCCTTGCCCGAGATAATATCAAGATCAATTAGTGTCTCCTATTCAATTTGACACCAACACATTTGTGAATTTGACCAACTTTTGGTCATACCAGTATTTCACTTGTATTCCCATTGAGTTTTGTTCTCAAGTGGTCTTGTGACATCATACAAAACTTGAACACCATGCAAAGAGCTTCACTAACCAGAAATCTGTGCAAAAACCACAGGAAATGATGAATGTGTTGTCAAATGTTTTACGAACTAGTTATTCTGATGCTAAACCAATGTTGGAATCATATGGTTTTCATTTTTGATACAAGATGAAGTTTGTCTTCTTCAACACCAAGCTTTGAAGTGAGATATGATGAAGATTTCTTTCCACAGAAGGGAAGCAAAAATTTTAACAACAAGAAACTAGTGGAGCCAACTATGGTTGAACGACAGGTTGTTGTTAAGCATCTCGATATGATATGGTCCAAGTTGCCTTATTCGAGATTTGATTAGATGTGGAGACATGAAAGGAATTAGGATAAATCCTCCTTGTGATGTGTTTTCAAGAGTTAAATCAGAACAGACGTTGTTCACCTAAATATCTCTGCTGAGTTGGCATATCTACATCTACATTCTTCAAAGATGAGATTCTCTCTTCAAAGATGATAGATTCTCTTTTTAAAGATAAGATTCTCTTTTCAAAGATGAAAACTTTATTGGATTTCTACACAGTCTAGGAAAGAAAGCCGGTCTTATCAAAGACAAAATGAGGCATCAAGGTCATAGTTCTGACTACGACAACAGTTCCACAAATGAAACATTTCTTTTGAGACTTTACTGAAATGAAGAAGACACAAAGATACAAGTTGCTCAGATGGTTCGTCAGAAATGCAAGTTTGATAACATAGTTGCTATATTGATATATGTAGAAAAACTTGGAAAATGATCAAGTGAAGGAAACCGAGTTCACCACTTTGAAATCAAATAAAATTGCATCAACATTTATTTATTCATAAGAACATTATTTGCATAATAGAAAATGCATTACATTGATAAATTTGATTGCATTCAAACATGAAGTTTTACAGGTTTTCATATGATCAAAGAAGATTCATGAAGAAAATACCTTACAAAAGAAGAAGAGTTCATAATGAGAAGAACCCATCTGAAGAGTAAGAAGAAGTTCATAATGAGAAGAACTTGTTCAACCTTTTGCTCGACTCTATCGGCAGAAAGAGATAGATCAGCATCAACATTTCCAGAAGGAGTTCATAATGAGAAGAACTCATCTGAAGAAGGAAGAATAAGTTCATAATGAGAAGAACTTGTTCAACTTTTTGCTCGAATTCATCATTCGATGGATCAGCATTGCCAGGTAGAGTTCATAATGAGAAGAACTCATCTGAAAAAGGAAGAATAAGTTCATAATGAGAAGAACTTATTCAACTTTTTGCTCGAATTCATCATTCGATGGATCAACATTACCAGGTAGAGTTCATAATGAGAATAACTCATCTGAAGAAGGAAAAATAAGTTCATAATGAGAAGAACTTGTTCAACCTTTTGCTCGAATTCATCACTCGATAGATCAACATTTTCAGAAAAAGTTCATAATGAGAAGAGCTTGTTCAACCTTTTGCATGACACTATCACAGAAGGAGATAAATCAGTATCAATTTTTCCAGAGAAAGTTCATAATGAGAAGAACTCATCTGAAGAAGGAAGAAGAAGTTCATAATGAGAAGAGCTTGTTCAACCTTTTGTTTGACTTTATCACAGAAGGAGATAGATCAACATCAACATTTCCAGAAATGTTCATAATGATAAGAACTCATCAGAAGAAATTCATAATGAGAAGAATTTGTTCAACCTTGCCTTAATTTATCACATATAAAGTTGAATCAATGACACCTCCTTCAAGGATCAGCATTTCCAGATGAAGTTCATAATGAGAAAAACTCATCTGACGAAGAAGAAGTTCATAATTAGAAGAACTTGTTCAAACTTTTTGCTAGATTACATCACAGAAGGAGATGAATTGTCATCCCCAGTGGAAGAGTTCATAATGAGAAAAACTCATCTGAAGAAGGAATAAGAAATTCATAATGAGAAGAACTCATCTAAAGAAGAAGAATAAGTTCATAATGAGAAGAACTCATCTTGAGAGGAAGAAGAAATTCATAATGAGAAGAACTTGTTAAACCTTATCTTAATTCATCACATATAAAGTTGAATCAACACCTCTTTTAAGGATCATCATTTCCAGAAGAAGTTCATAATGAGAAGAACTCATCTGAAGAAGAAGAAGAAGTGCATAATGGGAAGAACTTATTCAACCTTTTGTTCGACTCGTCGTAGAGAGAAATATATCAACATCAACATTGTTTAACCTTTTGTCAAATCCATCACAGAAGGAGGTGGATCGTCATTCCCAACAGAAGAGTTCATAATACGAAGAACTTATAGCTCAAAAGTTTGGACAATTCAAGCTAAAAATTGTGCTTTTTGTCTTTGATCCATTCCTGTTCCACAGTAACGAGCAAAGAGGGGCAGCTGTAATCACTATTTTTCCCTTCCCTATCCAGCAACCAACGACAGCTGCCTCTCCACGTTGTAGCTACAAACAGCCTCCGGCAAGCTGGGACAACAGCCCCTCCACGTCCCAGTTCCAGTGGCTTCCATCACCTCCTTTGGCCAGTGACTCACCGAGTTATCCTCCTTTAACCGGTCCAAAGGGTGTACGAAAAAGCCTATAAAAGCCCCCATCAATGAAGCAAAGGGGAGGGGGCAGAGCAATCAAACAAAAAAAATAATAAAATAGAGTGAAGATACCGAGCAACTTACGAGCATCCAAATCACCAGAAACCACCAAAATACCGAAGGTAAAAACTTAGATCTACGAAGTTTGGGGGGTTTTTAGAACAAGAGGAAGTCGGAATCGGATTTAGAAATAAAAGAGGAATTTTTTTGGGTAATTTTGTAAAATTCCGGCCACCGTGGACGGTGGCCGGTGACGGTGACCGGCCGGTCACCGGTATTCCTCCGATGAGGGAGCTCTAGAGAGAAGCTAGAGCTTCTCTCTCTAAGAGAGAGAAGCAAATGTAGAGAAATGATAATTTAGGCATATTTTGGCCTATTTATACCCTTACCAAAACGACGTAGTTTTGGTGAGGGCCTCTGTGTAATTTCCCGGATGGGAAAACCATACGCATTATCCTCCTGATTTTATAGACTTATATTTTAGTCACTAAATTAAGTTTTAGAGCATTTTAATTTTGTTCCTGAATTTTATTTTATTATATTTTAGTCATTTCCAGTAATTATGTAATTTAGGGTAAATAATATTTTAGCCCCTGTAACTTTATTAATTTTAATTTAATCCCGAATAATTAATATAAGATAATCATACTGTTAATACTTTTTATAATATTTTAAATTAGAGCTTTTAATTTTAATATGTTATAATTTAGTCATTATTTTAATACTTTCATTTATTTTAAGTTTTATTATCGTTTATTTTTAATAATATAATATAATTTTATTTATATTATTTTAGTCGTTATTATTTATTTTTATATGTTATATATTTAATTATTATTGATTATTATTATGTATCATATAAATATATAATAAATAATATTTATTTACTTATTTTTATATTTATATATATATTAAATAAAAATCCTATTTAAAATTTTAATTTTATATAAATTACTTTTAAGAAAAATAATCATATTTTAATATTTATTTTTAATATTAAGAATAGGCTTCTTAAAGCACCTAGAAGTCCTTTTCTGATATTCTTAAATAAATAAATAAATATCATTTTTATAATTATATATATTTAATTTATTTAATTATTTTAGAAAGATGTTATTTTAATATTTATTTATTTTTAAGAAAAGAGCTGTCTTAAGGCACCTAGAAGTCATTTTCTGATATTTCTAAATAAATAAATATTTTATTTATAAATATATATAAATTAATAGATTTTCTTAAAAATTATAGTAATAAATTTGAGATAACAGAATTATAAATTAAATATATTTGAATTCTTAAATTATATTATTAGAGACAATTTATAATTAAAAAGTAATAATTTTGGGCGTTGTAGGGGTGCTAATCCTTCCCTAAACGTAATCGACCACGAATCCCTTTTTATTATTAAAAAGAACAAATTTTTGGTTAAAACGCAGACTAGTTTATCTTTTAAATGATGTTTTCTTAAAAACTCTTTTAAAAGATGATTTTTTAGGTATTTGACCTACCTGACCCAAAAGGCCGATGACGACTTCCAAAATATTTTTTAAAATCAAAATCATTAATTTATTCATATTACTTTTCCCGCCAAGTAAAATTTCGTACCCGGACGAAAACCGGTTACGACAGTTGTTACAAAATAATCATGTCACATTACAATAATTGTGAAAATAAGTTTAATGATTATATTTATAAAAATGTGATAAACTTAATATTTAGTTTGTAATTTTTTTATAAAATTTAATAATTACTTTATAATTTTTAAAAATTTTATGATCAAAATAATTATCTGTCTAATATTATTTACCCAAAAAAATATCGATTTTCCTACTAGAAAAAGGCACAGCCAGAATACCTTTCCCTTCATTCTTCCTATCTTCATCATCAAAAAGAAAAAGAAAACCTCTTGCAATCCTTCAGCTATCATTCACCGTTGCCGGAAAATGCATGTTCCGGCGAACAGTTATTTTCTATCTATACGCTATATTCGCATCTCCGATCACCGTCGCCATATCTTTCACGAAGCAACCTAATCCTTCTTGTGCAAAAAAAGCTTCCATAACTCTTTTGCTAATAAATGCGCATTAATCTTTTTTGGTTCTGAAATTTTGAACTTAATTTTCCAGTCAGTTTTTTGTTTTTTGGGAGGTTCAACATTTTTGGATGCACATGCAGATGAAATCAGTCATTAGTTGGTTAAAAATTTTAGCTGAGTTTTAAGTTTTCAAGATTTTGGTTAGTTTTGAGCACAAAGAATCAGAGTTTTAGAGACAGGGAGAGGGAGAGAAGCTTTAAGCTTTTTTTCCCGATGAAGGTTCAGCCGATAGACATCGGTTCACGGGCGGAGAAAGAAACTGCTCCTCGAGCAGAACCAGTCAAGCCAGCTCTTAAATCTCTTCTTAAAAGAATCTTTGACCGGCCGTTTCCGAGCGTTCTGCGAACATCAGCAGCGGATAAGCTGAGTATTGGCGAAACTCAGTTCAGCAGCAAAGATGGAGCGATTGATTTCGAGCCGAGTTCGATTTGTTTGGATAAAATGGTTCAGAATTTCATTGAAGATAGCCACTACGACAAGCAACCGCCACCGCATCAGCCTTCTGTTAAATACGGCCTTAACCGCTGTACTTGCTTTAACGGAAATAGTAACGATAGCTCTGATGACGAGTTCGATGCCTTCAGCGAGTCAACCAACGGCGGATCACCGCCGGCCGATGCCTGCGAAACACTCAAGGTAAATCTTTCTAAACAAAGAAAAATCAAAGAAATGCCAATTCCATTTTTCCGTATTCGACAAAACCTAACAAAAAAATGTTGAAAATTTTGGATTTTTTTACATATAAAAAGCAGAGTCTGGTACAATGCGCCACCATCGTCGAGAGAAACCTCTTAGCTGACACGGCGATGATCGTTGAAAAGAACAGAAACTGTAAACGGAAAGACGATTTGAGGAAGATCGTTACCGACGGTTTAATTTCTCTTGGCTACAACTCTTCAATTTGCAAATCAAAATGGGACAAATCTCCATCTTTCCCCGCCGGTAACGAGCTTTCGTTCTAGATTCTTTCAAAACTGAAAAATGCAATCTCTATACGGAATTGAAAATTTATTATTATTATTTTTAAATTTTAGGCGATTACGAGTATATAGATGTGGTTTTTGTGGAAGAGGGGAGAATGTTGATCGACGTTGATTTCCGATCAGAATTTGAGATGGCGCGATCGACTGGGACCTACAAAGCGATCGTCCAATCGTTGCCGTTCATTTTTGTCGGTAAACCGGACCGTCTTGATCGGATTGTTTCAATCGTATCGGAAGCAGCTAAGCAGAGCTTGAAAAACAAAGGCATGCACCTTCCTCCTTGGAGAAAAACCGAATACATGCGAGCCAAATGGCTCTCCCAATTCACCAGAGCCTCTTCACGAACCGGCGACGTTTCTGGTAAAACTGATATCAAGGAAACATTCGACTCCGGTGGTTGCGGAGAGCTGGACTTGATTTTCGGAGAGGAGAAAATAGCCTCGACGGAGCAAAATCCCGACGAAAAGGAATTACCGGTGACTACGTGGCAGCCGCCGGCGGTCAAATCAAAAAGTGTAGAGGGAGGAACGAAGATTGTCACCGGTTTGGCTTCTCTTTTCAAAGAGAAACCATAATCAAATTTTGTTGCAATTTTCACCGGATTTAAAAATTAATAAATATAGATATTATAAAAAAAATCGTATAACCCTTTTTTATTTGATCCTTTATTAATTTTCTACGTTGTATGAGGCAGTAAAATAAAAATAAATAAATTGAGATAAATGAAATATTTTTCTAAAATAGAGTGAAAATTGTGTTCAATTTAATCGCTTTATATTAGTGAATACATTCAAATAGTATTTATACTAATAATTACGTTTTTAAAAATAATATAATTATATATTTTTAAAAAAATTAAATCTAACTGAATAAACTTATAAACAAGTATATAAATAATTTTATAAAATAAATTTATTTATAAATATAAACAAACTGAATATATATATTTAACTCATTTGTTTAATAGATAAAAATAATTTTTTATTTAAACTTATTTTTATAATTTAATAAATAATATATAAATGATTTGGTTAAACATTTTAATCATTTATAGTTTTGTAAAACTTAAATATATTGTTTTATTAAAAAATTATCAAATTAGGATAAGATATTAGATCAAAGGTTAAAATTTTAACTTTAAGAATAGAATAAATTGAATTGAGATAACTATTTATGTATTATTTCTATATAATATCATATTTGAATTAATTGATTAGATATTGATGATTACACAAAAATTTCAAGAAAAACATGGAGTAATTCTTTTAGTGTAAACTACATAAAATATCATCGAACTTTAGACGTTGTATTGTTTATATCACTGAACTTTCAATTTTACTAATTATAGCATTGATCTTTGATTTTCGTTTCAATTATGTCACTAGATCGTTAAATCGTTAACAAACGGATCAAAACGATGTCGTTTTAGTGAGGTGCCTATATCGGTAGTCGTCAGCCACGTCATCATGTCGTTAACGATTTAATGGTTCAGTAGTATAATTGAAACGAAAATCAAATTTCAATGTTATAATTAACTTGAAAGTTCAATGATATAAACGATACAACGCCTAAAGATTAGAGGTATATGATGTAGTTTACCCCTTCTTTTATTATTCTCCTTTCTAATTATTTATGTGCAATCTTGGTAGGTATTGTTTCTTCAGAGGGGAGCAATAGAGTATGCAACTTTATTCCTCTTTTTTATTTTTTATTTTATTTTCTCATCTTTTTAGGATATTGGATTTCATATTTTTATTTTATTTATTTATATATTTTTTAAATGCTTGTACACCCTAATAATTTTAGTGATAAAAGAATTATTGTTATTTTTTGAGGTTTTAAGTTCGAGCATTAATAATCCTAAGAGTACGAACGTTTAATGTTAAATATTTAAGAATTATATTTAAATAGATAATAATATATACTTATTCTAAATTAATAAAAAAAATATTTGTTAAATGCTTAAAGAGGCATTAGCTTCTGGCGGCAGATAAAAGCCAAAGCAGCCTCGGGAGTCTCAATCCTCGAGCATAAAAAGATGCAAATATTTAGAAAAACTAAATTAATTATCATATTTTAATTACTGTATTCAACATAAAAAATAGAGTTATTAATTATTTGAAACTTAATAAAGCATTGTTATGTTCGCCGCGTATTCTCTTTTCCTAACTTTTTTATGAGATTTATATTCAATAAATTATATTTCGGGTAATTACATGTAAGATGAGAATGTTATTAATAGTTAAGAAATATTATAAATATTTATTATATTGCAATTATCTAAACTATTCATAAAAGTTAATTTTTTAGTAGTTCTTAAATTGTTGGTGATTATTATGATTAAAACAATATTTTTTCGACGAACGTATGTTATGCAGGGTGTGTATTTGCTGACGTGATAAGTTTTTCGAACAATTTTTCTCATACTGACATCATCAAGATCAAAATAAAAGAAATGAGAATAATGAATCAAATTTTTTAATAAATTACAATTTTTTTTAAAAAAAAATAATACACAAGATAGATGTATTTCACACATATTTTCACGAGCCAATCAAATGGTGACGATGACAATGCACGTGTAAATTTTGTATTTAATCACCTAATAAGTGCATATTTGAAAATTTGTATTTAAACACTTTTTAAAAATCACATATAAATAATATGTTATTTGATCATAAAAAATATTGATTTTGAGCATTTAAATATAATTCTTAAATTTGAGAAGACTTATATCAGTACAACGATTAAAAATAATTTTGGATACTAAATTACTTAAAAGAATGGAGAAGAGGAGAGCTTCAGCAGTGGAGAGTTTTGATCAAGTCTCGAAATGGCATTATGTATTTGTCAACAAAGTGAGTAAAAGGATTCACTCGGAAACTCTCAAGGAGACGTTTCAGGCTTATGGAATTGTGACCGACGAATTCATAGCGTACAAAAGTAGAAGAAGACAAACAGTCGGTTCTACCTTTGCCTTTGTTAGGTTCAGAAGCAAATTCGAAGCAGACACAGCGGTCCATAAGGTTGATGGTAGGATCATGGAAGGTTTTAAGAATAGAGTCTATCATGATAACAAGGGAGCAATAAAGTACAAGAGGGCTGAGGCTGGTATATCCTTTAAAAAAGTGTGGAAGCCATCGTTAAGGGACTTTAGGTCTTTTAAGGAAGTCCTTGGAGGGTTGCAGACTATTGAAGGAAAAACACTAAATTATGATGATAATCTTCAGTCTTATATTATATCAGGGTCGGATAATGTGGTTCACGTTACGATTAAGGAAAAAAGAGATTAAAGGCCAGTACTAAAAAATGATGCTAAAAGTAGGAATATTTGCATTATGGAAAAAGAGGTATCGTGGAGAAAAACTTGTCTGGTGGGGAAAATAAAAAAACATGTATAATGAAAATATTATTCAAACAACATTCAGTGCAGAAGGGTATGATGTGAAGGTTAGCATTTGGCATGAGCTACTGGTTGTCATTCAATTCAAAAACGAAAATGATCGACAGGGTTGATGGTCCAAAAGAGATGTATGGGTTCATCGTTGGTTCAATGAGCTCAAAATGCTGGAGGCCTATGAGAACAAAGTCAGAATTAAAGTCTGGATTAATTTGATGGATTTTCCTCTCTCAGTTTGGAGCGAGAAATTCTTCATGGACTTAGGAAGTTTATGGGGAAAAGTTTTATCGATTGATGAAGATACCTGTAATCGATTAAGGTTTGATGTAGCAAAGATTTTGCTGGAAGTTCAATACGTTTCAGACATTCCAGAGAAAATATCTATTGTCTTCAATGGAAGAATTTACACCATAAAAATCTTAACAGAAGTTTAGGAAGAGGTTTGAGTGTTCATAGATAGCTCTCTGTTGAGTTAATCGATCGACGGAATTGGCCAAAAGGGGGTGAATTGGCAATAAAAATTTTGGAGGAAGCTTTTCCAAAAAATTGAAAATATTTGCACAACGATTTATAGTGGTTCGACTTTCTCAACCAAAGTCTACGTCCACTACCTTAGCTATCCATACTAAGGATTTTCTAACAAATTCACTAATTTGTTCTTTCTTTTCAGGACAAAGAGTAACCTTACAACTCCCTCAAGAATTATACCTCAAATTCTTGAGCACACTTTTTTTCAAAGAGAAATAAACAAATTTCGTAAACTTACAAGAAAACCTCACCAGGTAGATTGTTTGCACAACTCTAGAACAAAGAAAGAACACTCAAAGATGAATACAATAGAGCACAAATGGTATTCTTGAAAGAAAAATGAATATTGAAAGAAAAATAGGCTTGAAATGCTCAAACAATAAGTTTGATGCTTTCTCTTTTATTCTCTAGATTCTCTTCTTGATTGTTATTGATCAATGGCTCCTAAGCTTGTTTAAATACTCCTTGGATCACTTCTGAACGTTGGGGATGATTAGTGGAGTCAATAGAGTCGTTTAAGTGTGAAAACAATTAATAAAATCAGTTGGGGGCGTCAGTGCATCGATGCATACACAAGGTGCATCGGTGCATCAAGTGTAAAATTCAAATATTTTGACCGTTGGACCCTTAATGCATCGGTGCACTAAGAGTACATCGATGCATGAAGTGCATTCAATGTTTCAAAATAGCCTGAGTGCATCGATGCATGGATTGTGCATCGATGCATCAAATGCATTCGATGTTTTCATAAAACCCTAAGTGCATCGATGCATAGATAGTGCATCGATGCATAAACTGCATTCGATGTTCAATTTATTCATTGGTGCATCGATGCATGGATTGGTGCATCGGTGCATCCCTTTGAAAAATTGATTTTAGGCTTGATTTTGGTTCAAAATACTTTGTAAAAAATGTTTCAAAAATATATTAAGTATAAAACACAATTTTACACATTTAGTAAGGTTTGAAATTGATCTTGAAAGACTTGGAGTAATAATTTGATATTCGAGTAATTAAATCGAATATACTTAGAAAATCATTTGTAAAATCTTAAAATTCAATTATACTTAATTCGTTATATCGAAACATCAAAATGTTTTCAACAATCTCCCCCTTTTTGATATAACAAAACATTTGTGTAATTTTACGATTTTCTTTGAAAATACATTTTGAAATCAAGTTTGAAATTACTCCCCCTTACTCTAACAAATAAATTTTGAAATTAAGTTTGAAATTACTCCCCCTTACTCTAACACTTCTCCCCTTTAACAACTAACATCCTTTACACTCCCCCCCTTTTTGTTAAATCAAAAAGACTTCAAAATGTTTTAAACAAGGTTTGAAAAGCATAGCCAATTGATTATAGATAAATATAGCTTAAGCTGCTAAGATCAAAGATCAAGAGAAAGGTTAGCCATTAGTTTTCATTAACAATATTCATAATCAAATGTGAAATGACATAATTGGTCATAATGCAACTAATAAATAAATGATGCAAAAATTAATAAACATTAAACTCAAATTGAAAGTTAAAACCAAACCAAATATATAAGCATGTAAGTTCAAATATCCAATTATCCAACAAATTCAAACATCCAAAATAAAACAATCCATGAACATCAAAATGTTTCACAATTCAAAGTTCTGAGTTCGGGATGATAAACCCATTGACCCGT